AATGCCAGCGGAACACCACGTTGCCTTCCAGACAGAGCCGAGGCAGGGAGGCAGCGGGGTGGGCGAGAGTCCCGAAGCAACTAACAGGTCGGAGAAATCGCCCGCCTCAGTGGCCATAGCGGCGGCTACGATCCAATCCTTAGCTAGCTCCGCTCGCTGATCAGCCACATGAGGGCAGACCCACAACCGATGATGCACAGAGTCGGCCGCACCGCAGTGCACTCATTTGGGATCGACATGATACCCGCGAGCGAGCGCGCGATCAGGGGCCCTGATCGCATTGCAAGCGCCTGCCCTGGCCACCCGATTCTCGCTGGGTGAGAAGGCTTTGGAGGCCAGGGCAGCACGCGCGATGTCAAGACTCAGCCTGCCCCCTGTGCTCCACTAACTGCCAAGGTCACGCTCGAGCGATCTGATCATGCCGCCCCCGCAAGAAATTGCGTGCAGAGCGGGGGGCGTGACGCCGAGGAGAATAAGGTATCCGCGATCATCAGCGATAGGCCTATAACTTTCCATCTGCCACCCCAGCCTGACCAAGCAAAACCGCAGAGCGGAGACAGGACACCCAGCGCAACCCCAAGTGAATTTGGCCTGGCCCCAGACAGCAGTCCACGCGTCGTTTTTGTTGACAAAAAACCCTCGTCTGCGCCAACCAGATGTCCTTCCCCCGCCGCAGGACAGGCGCACGAGACGCCCTCCAGGTGGGATCGCACGATAAAATGCAGCAAGCGGTCAGGCTGCGAGACAGGGCGAAAGGCCGAACCGTCGAGAAAGCTTGCCCCTTTCATCAGAAGAATACTGTGATCCGACACGCCGACAATCTCGGCGCCGTAGGAGCCGCCAGCAAGTGGGCCCGCAGACAGGAAACACCTGAAAGTTTGTTCCGACCCAGGTCCCCTGGAAACTTCTTGGGCCTCTTGGCCCTCCTGCGCATGGCAGCCATTCTCGACTTGAATTTGCTGGCCCAGCCCGACGCACGAATGGATTCGCCAGCAGAATAATCCACCCCAAGATTGACAGTGGAGTCTTCCACTCTGCCAGCAAGATGACCGCGCTGTTGCCCAACCCCCAGGGCCACCGCTCGGCTGGGCGAGACCGTGCACGCCGTGGACAGAGCGAGACTGCATCCGTGCATATCCGTGACGGCCGCGCGCAAGGCCTGCGAAATGGAAACAAACGCAGCAATCGCGCGATGACGGGGCCAGAGGCTGAGACGCCCGAATCATCGATGCATATGTCCAGGTCGCACCAAGGCAGCACAGGGATGGAGTCCAAAGCAAACAGGCCAAACGCCCCGATGAAGGTGGCCTGCCACCACCACTCTTTCAACCAAAAAAGGCCCCATAAGGATGCCAGCCCAGGACAAGAAGCGGCCGCGCCGAAAGGCAAATCTGCAAAGGCGCGCAATAGGCAACTGGAACCCATGTCGGCGGCACTTGGCCATGAGCATATCGAGGTCAATCGGTTCAACATACTTGAGCATGTCCTAGGAGACGCTGCATGAAACTGCTGCGGAGGCTGTGCCGAACTCCGCGCGTGCAGACTGTCTCCGCGCAACGTCGGCAGCACCTCGACTCCCGCCAGCAGCCCAGTACCGACGGGGGTGCTCTCGCTCCCAGGCCAGGGTATTGGGTCGGCGAAGCCTCCATCGGTCGGTAGCCGCTAATGATTTTCGAGAGGGGAGCAAGAACCACGGCATAAATCTGCTCGGGCAATTCTCCAAGCGCCTCCATCAACTCCAAATTGACAGCCAGGGCACCTAAGGCATCGTCGCAAGGGTACTGATCGTGACGACACATCAAACCGTCATAAACAACCGCCGACCATCTCTTGCACTTCTTCGGGACCGCCCTGGCACCTGCGGCAGTCACGCGAGGGAGTAGGGCCCCTAACGACGGCGAGCCTCTGGAGGCCCCCGCACCTTGGCCCCAAATCACCGAACAGTTGAAACCTTCAGCCGCCAACGAGGCAAGTGGGCCCGACGCGAGAACTCCGTCCGCCGAGAGCGCGGTGGTGGCCGGCCACGGGGAGGGGCCCCTGGAACACGCGTGAACTCGCCTGGCCCCCTTCCATCCAACCCTTCACGAATCCAGGCCTGCCAGCTCTGTCGAGAGCGCTTGCTGGCTTCTTTGCGCGCGGCGCTAATGGCCTCGTCCAGCGTGGCCCGCAAGCCCTCATCACCGCACGAGCCGCCAACAAACAAACGATACGGGGCATGGAAGCAACGCGAGCAACCTCGACAAAGAGAGGCTGGGGAGCAGCAGCAACCTGAACGTGGGCTGGCGGCGCTAGCAGCAACCTTGTCAGCGCTCCCGCCTGAGCAGCTTCACCTTGGCCCGGATCCAAAAGCGAAGCTAAGGCGCGATATTGGACGCTGAGCCACCGCGCGGCGCGGTGGTCGGGGCCTCGAATGGCATGGCCTCGCCCCGCGAGCTTCTTCCAGGCAAGCTGCGGGCCCCTGGGCCCCGAACCATGGATGGGGACAGGCTGGCACAAAATTGGAAGAAGGTCCAGCTCGGCCTCGTCCGCCCATGCTGCGCGACATGGCCAGAGCAGCGACGACGCACCCCTAGCGACGCCAGAGGCAACGCATTGGGGGGCCTGGTCAGCAAGCTCCCGCACGTGAGACCAGTCTGGGGGGGCGCGGACGAAGGCCAATCGTGGCCGCGGCGGGGAGTGGGGGGGAAGCTCCCTGCAACTGAGACCGTTGAACTTCCCGCAAGACGCATGCAACGCCGCTTGGACTGGCCCGTGGGGGCTGAGGGCGGTGTCGTGCACAACTTCGCCAGTTTTCACAGTCCCCCCCCCCAAGCCACCAGGATAACAAATCAAACGTCGACGGGGGGCCCTCTCCAAAATGCGCGCGCCCATCAGCCGCAACCTGTAATCCGACAAGATGTTCGACTGACCTGGAGCCCAGGAGGGCCCCATGGGGCCACGTCGCAGCCCCCCCCCCCCCTGATGCAGAAAGAAAGCGACGACATCCGTTCTCCAATATTGGCCAAGAGATCGACAATGCGCCCGGGCAAATCCTCAGTATACTGGAGGTAAGCAGAGCACGCCGCGACACGACCACCTCGAGGAAGGTGAACTATGCGAGCCGCAGCGCGAACCGCAGAAACCTCAGCCCCTCCTGGCGGCCCGTGCAGGCCGAGAAAGCCTCTGACAAAGATGCAAGTGCGGACCGAAGTGAAGCCCGCAAACGTACCTTGGGCCCCAGTATACATTGTTTTTCTCCCACCCTCGGCGAGCGCGCCAGGCTGGCGCTTGCGCCAGCTCTCCCTCGCCCCGCAACCTGTGCTCCTGACGCGAGATGACATGAGCAAGAGTCTTCGCCATGAGCTCGTTCATGGTCGACCAACGGACGCAACTTACCGAGCGAACGCAGTGCTCCAGAGCCTCCAAGGGGGCCGGGCAGGGGCCTCCAGAGGCCGAATGGGCACCCGAGGAAACAAAATCACCAGAGAGTCCGAAGGGCCGCTGACGCACTCGACTGGGCTGCGCGGCCGCAAGCCGACGAACAGCGCACGCGTCGCGCGGGCTTGCGAAACAAAAAACATAGCCTCACAGGAGGCAGCGCTGCGCGCCACCTTGAAGAAGGCGGCGGCCCCCGAAGGTAAAAGCCGCTCACCCCTCCACGAGGCGCGCGCGACGGCCCTTCTCAGAGACGCGTGGGACTTTTTATATATATAAAAAAAAACAAAAAAAACAGACAAAAAAACGGGCGCTTCACACGCGGAGGGGCCCAGCGGGCGCGCCGACGGACAAAGGAAGCAACGCAGCAATCGGTCGTTCCCTGGAGGCCCCAAAGGCAAGAATGACCGTCCGCCCAGTGAACAAAATGATCCCAGTGCGACCCTACCTAGGAGTTGGAGCCCCTAGGAGAGCAGCATTCGTAGTAACAGTAAAGCTAAGCTAAAGCTAAGCTAAAGCAAAGCTAGAGCTAAGCTAAGGCTAAGCTGAAGCTAAGCTAAAGCTAAGCTAAAGCTAAGCTAAGGCTAAGCTAGCACTAAACTAAAACTAAGCTGAAGCTAAGCTAACGCTCAGCTAAAGCTAAGCTAAAGCTAAGCTAAAGCTAAACCAAAGCTAAAGATAAGCTAAAGCTAAGCTAAAGCTAAACTAAAGTTAAGCAAAAGCTAAGCTGAAGCTAAGCGAAAGCTAAGCTAACGCTAAGCTAAGGCTACGCTAAAGCTAAGCTGAAGCTAAGCTAAAGCTAAGCTAAAGCTAAGCTGAAGCTAAGCTAAAGCTAAGCTAAAGCTAAGAGAAAGCTAAGCGAAAGCTAAGCTAAAGCTAAGCTAAAGCTAAGCTAAAGCTAAGTTAAAGCTAAACTAAAGCTAAGCTGAGCTAGCGCTAAGCTAAGGCCCAGCTAAAGCTAAGCTGAAGCTAAGCTAAAGCTAAGCTGAAGCTAAGCTAACACCAAGTACAGCTAAGCTAACACTAAGCTGAAGCTAAGCTAAAGATAAGCTAAAGCTAAACTGCAGCTAAGCTAAAGCTGAGCTAAAGCTGAGCTAAAGCTAAGCTAACACTAAGCTGAAGCTAGGCTAAAGCTAAGCTAGAGCTAAGCTAAAGCTAAGCTAAGGCTAAGCTAACACTAAGCTAAAGCTAAGCTGGAGCTAAGCTGAAGCTATGTTAAAGCTATGCTGGAGCTAAGCTGAAGCTAAGCTAACGCTAAGCTGAAGCTGAGCTAAAGCTAAGCTCAAGCTAAGCTAAAGCTAAGCTAAAGCTAAGCTAACACTAAGCTAGGGCTAAGCTAAAGCTAAAGCTAAAGCTAAGCTAAAGCTAAAGCTAAGGCTAAAGCTCCCAGGGGACTGGGGGAACCGCGGGGCGGGGACTGGGGGAACCGCCCGGGGCGGTTAGCATTGCCCGGCCCCTTAAGCAAAGAGAGTAAGAACCCTTCTAGGCAGAGCCTAGGTAGGGAAAAACAGGATGCTCAAAAACGTGGCCCTGGCACCCTGATTCCACGAAGCACGAGGCTCCGACCAAACAACAAAAACATACGCCTACTCAACCATCTGCTTCAGGATCAAGGAGGCCCCCTCCAGCGCCAGCACAAAGGGGCGGACCACGTTTGCCGGCGAATGCACTCTCGCCCCCCAAGGTGCGAGGCCGCAGCCCGGAGCATTAAAGTCCCATGCCGAAGAGAACGGAGAGAACATGGGCATCGCTGGGCAAGTGAGCTTGCCACTGAAAAGATCATCGCGCAGAAGACCCCCCTGCTCGCACTCGCGCGCCAACAGGGGGAGGCACTTGTGCAGACGGCTGCTGCTGGATGACCTTGGCAGCGCGAGCAAGTAACGGAGCCGACCCAGCAGCCTCCGCGTCAGGGTCAGCAGCCGAACCGTGGCCTTCGCTGTCAGCTCCAGGGGCCTTGGCCTCCAAACCTGCTGCAGGTGCCGCATCGTCCTCGCCGCTGCCTGCGTTCACAGTGTCGTCGACCCTGCGCTTCTTCGAGGGGCGTCCAACATGTGCCATGTGCGCCTGCTGGGTCTAGTTCGCCGTCTCAGCGACCTGAGCGAACAGGGTCCTGGCCAGCTCCTGGATGCCGTCGCGCAGCTGCTTGCTGCGCTTCTCCATCTCCTCCTGGTCGGTCGACGACAGCTCGTAGTCCTCGATGTCTCCCAGGAGCTCAGACGGGTCGATGGAGAGCTGCTCAGAGAAGGAACCGTCCAGGATCGATGCCAGCGTGCACTTAGATGTAGCACCCCCGTCAGCTTCCACGCTCTTCTCGGGCGGGCGAGCAGTCTGAACGTGAAATGCCGGCACCAGACGACGATGCTCAGCTGCAGCCTGCTCGACCTCCTCCGTGAGCTTGGTGACCAGGGCACGCTGCTCCAGCATCTGGGCACTCCGCCCCTTGATACGGCTGGACCGCACTATGCAACTTGCGTTCCATGCCTCGCAACCTGCTGTGGGCAGTCGACACCCCGCGCTCCATGGTAGGCTCTTTGGCGACGGGCGGAGGCTTGGCCAGCTCGCGTTGCCTGGCACTCCCCAAAGCGCCCCCAGATTCGGCCAGCAACTACGCGAGGGAGGCATGCACTTCACGACTGAGCTAGGAGGCACTATCGGGGGCTCCGTCTGCAGGTCTGGTGCCTCGTCTGCCACCACCGTCTCCAGTGACAAGCGAGAGTTGCCCAGGAGGCATACTGCACGCGAAGGGGGAACCCTGCCAGGCGCCTCCACCGGAGCCTCCACCATGGCTCCAGACCCCACCAGGCCTGCCGAAAGAAGATGATGCGCAGGTCTTGAAGGGAGCCCACGAGCTGCCGCAACGCTTGCACCTCGTCCGGTGCATCTCGTTCTTCTTGCAGCCGCATGCGGAAAAGATCCAGCGGGCGGGCGGCAGGTCTGCCTCGGGCTGAGGGCCTGGAGCCCGCGCTGCCCACGGAGGAGGAGCGCCAGTGTCCACAGCAGCAAGCGCGAGCTCCCTCTCGAGGTCAGCGGCCGATGGGAAACCCCTGCCTCCCTTGCCGCCCTTGCCACCACCACCAGCTCTCCCGCCTCAATCGCCTCCCCCTTTGCCGCCAAACGCCATGGCGCGAACTGAATCGTTATGAAAGCTTGAAGGGTGCCGGCCCTCAACCGTAAACACTGAATCGCAAGCACAATGTGCCGTGTTAAATTCTCGCGCATACAACTCTCAATGGCTTGAGCGCAAAACGGCTAGAGAGAGATGTTGAGAGAGGGAGAGAGAGAAACAGAGAGAGAGAGAGAGAAGGAGAGAGAGTAGGGGGGAGGGGGAAGGAGGAACCAGGGAATGGGAGGAGAGGCGACGACGACGACGACGACGACGACGACGACGACGACGACGACGACGACGACGACGACGACGACGACGACGACGACGACGAGGGGGGACGACAAATCCCACCAGGCCTCTGGGCGTAGGCGGCCTAACGAGATTATTTCTCTCCTCTTCCAAAACCCTCTCTCCCCCTTCGGGGAGGGGTATACCCCTCTCTACCCCCTCCCCCGGCCTTTTTTCGGCGGCGGTCGCGGGTGGTTGGAGGGCCCTTTTTCGGCCCCCAGAAGGGCCAACTTGTGACACCCCTCACGAGGATCATCGGGAGACAGCCTCCTTTGATCGATAGCCTCGAAGATGGCCCCAAGAGGCGCTCCAGGGCTCCCAAGAGAGCCCCAAGAGAGCCCCAAGAGGGCTCCAACAGGGTCCCAACGAGGGCCCCAAGAGGCACCCGAAAGGCCCCCAAAGGCCCCCAAGCCGCCTCAGCGAGCCCAAAATGACCTCCAAGATGGCCCAGATAGCCCAAGCTGGCTCAAGATGGCTCCCAAGATGCTCCAAACGGCCCCAAGACCGCTCCAAGAGCGCCCAAGAACGCTCCAAGACAGCCCCAAGAAGCAGTTTGCGGGCTCCTGATGGGGGGAGCTGACTTGGGGACCCCCCCATCCTGAAATCAATGGCCTTCAAGATGATCCTAAGAAGCGTTCCAGGGTTACCAACAGGGTTCCAAGATGGCCCTCAAAACTCTCAGAGAGCACCAGCAGCAGCAGCAGACGCAAGAATACCTCCAGATGGTTCCAGGAGTCCTCGTCCGCGTCATTCTCATCCTAATCCTCGTCCTCCCCGTTGTCGTCCTCATCCTCCGCGTCCTCGTCATCCTCCTCCTCCTCCTCTTCCCCTCGCCCCCACGCGGCCCCCAGGGTGGCCCGAAGAGGCCTTCCAAGGCCACCCCCTTGATCCCAGAGATCTCTCGGTTCACCCCGGTTGCTCGCTTTGCTTCCCTAGATGTGTCCCTTCGTACCTTTTCCCGTCAGCTCTCGTGGGCAGGGCTTCTGAATGGGCTGGTTGGGATACTTTTTTGGTCGCGGCCGCGAGACAAGCATCAGGCGGCGAAGGCAACGTCCAGGCCACGGGCGAGGCTAATCGGGTGAAACAGGAGCGTCGGCCGGCCCCCTCAGACGGCAGATGCAGGCTGGGTGACGCTGGACTGGCTGACGTACTGCAACTGGTTGGGATACGTTTTGGTCGGCGGCTCCCTGGCGAAGGTCAAGAAGCGGGGCAAACTGGTTGGGATACGCGAAGCGTGAAGACTTGAGACTCCAGGATCTCAGGGAACCGCCAGTCTCGCCCTGCCTCCGCGGAGGTGTGCGCGCTGCCGCGGAGGGCCGCGCAGCCGCGGGCCGCTGGGGGCGCCCGTGCCGCGCCGGGCTGCCGCCGGCCAGCGGCCCGAGCCAGGCTGCGGATCCGGGCGGCCGTCGCCGCGCCGACGCCGACGCCGACGCCGACGCCGACGCCGACGCCGACGACGACGACGACGACGACGACGACGGCTGCCCATCGGGCAGGGATTTTCACGAGGAGGTGGAAGAGGAGCAGGAGGGGGGAGAAGGAGAAGGAGGAGGAGGAGGAGGAGGAGGAGGGGGAGGAAAACGAGGAGAAGGAGGAGGAAGAAGAGGAGGAAGAGGAGGAGGAGGGGGAGGAGGGGGCGGAGGAGGCCAGTTGCCCATCTGCCCTCGGCAGTCGGTGGCAGCCTTAGCTCGAGTGTCCGATGCTCGACCACGGACCGCTGCTTTGCCCACTGCCTCTCGGCCATGGGCAAGGCAGCCTCTTGTTTCTCGGCGGTCTCCGGCAGCCTTCGCTCGCGTGCCCGACGCTCGAACGACTGCGGCTGACGAGAGGCCCATGGCCGAACACCTGACGCAGCGGATCTCGGAGGGCTGGTCGAGGGCGGTGGCCCCCGTTACGTTTCTCGTCCATTCTACGCCTCGTCGACGCGGCTGGATCCGCCCCGAAAAGCGAGTCAGCGGCCAGGACATGGACTCCATGAGTAGAGGCCTCCTAGATGGGGTCGGAGTAGATGGGGTCGGAGGATCGCGCCGCATCGCCGATACATCGGTGATGCATCGCCGATGCATCGCCGATGCATCGGCGATGCACTGCCGACGTCGGCGATGCATCGGCGACTTCGGCGTGGAAAACAGTGGGCCCCACATCGAGCCGCATCGGCGATGCATCGGCGATGTGGCACGATCCCTCGACGCCGTCTACTCCGACCCCATCTAGGAGGCCTAGAATGAGGGGTCAGCGGACCGATGTTGAGCGGATGCAGGGTGGGCGGGAGAGCCTCGGAGGGGCCACCCCGGCGGCAAAGGGCGCCTCGCCAGCCCAGGACGCGACCCGCGAAGCTCGATTCTCTCCGCGCCCGCTGGGGGTGAACCAGCTCTCGGTGGCCTCCCTCCGACCACCGGGCGCCGGGGCCTGGCATCCCGCCCGTGCGCTGACTTGGCGACGCGGGGATTTATCCATACCCACCGCCTGGGAACCGACGTCCTGGTGCCCCAGCGGGCGTTGGATATGGATATGGATATGGATATGGATATGGATATGGATATATATATATATATATATATATATATTTATATATATATATATATATATATATATATATATATATATATAATATATATATCGGAAGTGAGGGGGTGAGATCGAAGTGGAACAGAGAGCCCCCCTACCGGGAAATCGACTTCGGTTTCGTGTTCGTGCGTGCCGTGCGTGCGGGCGAGGCGAAGCTGCGTGGGCGGCTGAGGCGCGGCCGGACCAAATGTCTCCCTTCCCGGCGGCCGGTGGCCCGCGGTGTCCCGCCGGTGTCCCGCTGGGGTCCCGTGTGGCTGAAGCGCGGCCGGACCAAATGACTCCCTTCCGGGCGGCCGGTGGCCCGCGGTGTCCCGCCGGTGTCCCGCGGTGTCCCGCGGTGTCCCGCGGTGTCCCGCGGTGTCCCGCGGTGTCCCGCAGTGTCCCGCCGGTGTCCCGCGGTGTCCCGCGAGTATGATGATGATGAGATGATGATGAGATGATGATGATGATGATGATGATGATGATGATGATGATGATGATGATGATGATGATGATGATATGATGAGATGATGGGATGATGAGAATGGTGTCCCGATGAAGATGATGATGATGATGTTAATGATGGTGTCGATGATGATGATATTGTCCCGATGATGATGATGATGATCATGATGATTATGTTGA